TCCTTGACCGTCGGCATTAGGATCAGTGATATCCCCAGTGAAGGAGTTCACAGGTCCACTCCACGCCGAGCCGTTATACTCGAGCTTCTGTATGCCGTCGTTGTCTCCGTCGTAGTATATGTGTACCTTGTTCTGATTCCACATCGCGACAGTGAGAGAGCCGGAGGGACTGGCGGGGTATGTTTTCGGGAAGGTGAAGAGAGTAGAGGTGTCAGAGTTGACCGAGGCAGCAGCGATATTGCTGTTCGCGTCCTGCCAAGCGACCGTCACTCTTGGGTAATAATGCCCATTCTCGACGTCGGCACCAATCGGAGTTCCCAGACGAGCTGGGTTCTGGGAGATGTTCGAGTCGCTGCCGCCTGTGCTGACGACCCACTTCTTGTCCCAAGAGTTCCACTTGGACTCGCGAATATATCCGTCGGTGTCCTGATAATAGACTCGGATATATGGATCAGAATATTCTGCGGCACCGAGGTTGGAGACCGCAGTGAGGTTGTAGGCAGGCACCTCGCCGACGTACGACCACACTTCAGAGTTCTCAGACTTTTTCCAGTCTTTGATCTTTGGCGGGGAAGAAGTGTTGTCGACGAAATAGATGTGGATCTCAGGATTGGGGCCGGGTGTGGTCTGGCCATCACCAGGATATGCGATGGCGGCGAGAGGAGCTCTCGAGTTAAGGTTGAAAACGGGGGAGCTGCCCGACTTCCAGGCACCTTTGTCCCACTTCACCTCGTGAACAGCGAAGTTGGAACTCTGGTAATAGACACGGATATGGGGGTCGCCTGGTGAAATGTGAGCCATCTGGCGGTTGGAGGTAAGATACAACCCGCTTACTGTTGGTTCTGTCTACCCAGAAGGTGCAAGCCAGGGCGGTGGATGTGACAGCTTGAGTGCTCGCCATTGTGTGATGTTGATCGTATTCGGATGTGAGACACGAGAGGTGTACGACACACTGGAGTGGGTCGAGTCGAGGTATTTATGGACGTCTAGGCCGGTAATCAAAATGCAAGATCTATTGCGTAGATCGAATCGCAGGCATCTAAGCGAGGTCTTCACAGATGTAAATGAATTGAGAAAGCGGAGATCAAGATGGGCCGCCGGGATATGAGTCCTGTAAGCGAATTCATCCACTACTTCCGGGTTCGTATAGTGGCTTCCGGTGCAGAGATTGTTGGAGCTCGAACCCTCGAAGACACGAAAGGCAAGTGCACGCATCATCCCCAGTCGCGGACTGCTCCCTTCTGAGACTAGACCAAGATCAGCGTTGAATGTTGGGGCAGCGATTGAAAATCAGATCCATCGATGGGCAACATCCTGGCGTTCATTTCGCAGAGCTAGACTGTAATCAATTCAGGGGCCTCAAGAGTGCCCAGATTATCGCATTGACGCATTCCGCGCCCTTCATGTGGCTCCAATCGCAGAGACTCTATCAGACGATTTGGGGTAAGCTCAGACCTCAATAATGCCCCATTTCAGAGAATGAAGCTAGACGGTAGATCCGGGACGGGTTTACTGCTGATTTGCACAGCACCGTGAGAGAGGCCGAGTACCGATAGAATAGATGTCAAGGGTTTGCCTGATTCTTCAGTTTCAACTTGGACAAGATTCGAACACGTCTTGGACTCATGGACTGCACGTTTCTTCCGGACCGCGTGCCTGGTGAATCGGTTGAACAGCTTCACGGCAGACCATTGTGTTCGTCGCGGCCCAGAGTATTCCTGGTACGGCAACGGGAAAGCCATACAGTTAGTATCCTGCACTTTGACGGGATATCTGAACGCGATTGTCAATGTGGCAATGAGAAGTCAATCACAGTGATAATCGAGCGCTTACCGATGCAGAAGTCGCTTTCCGGTGCTTCACGTAGATTCAGAGTCTATGATAGTAGCGCATTGTTGTGAACGGAAGAAACAAAATTGCGAAAAGGGTGAAATACTGTAAACTGGTGCAGAGGTTGAAAGTACGAATGACCGGCGGGCAGCGGGCAGCGCAGCGGAGTGTGAAAGGACCTCTTGCGTCCTCACTTTTCGCTTCAGCATTTCAATTTGTTTTCTTTGTTAGCTTCTGTCTCTTGCCATGCCATTTACTTTGTAGCAAGAGCCATAAATTTCTTCCAAAGCTCCTTCGGGCAATCATTATATTTCAGAAACAAGTTCAGCTCTGCTTCTTTCAAGTTTTCATCGGCCATATATTGTCATAATCGACTATGGATCTATCATCAGTCAACATTGGAACCGTCAGTTTTCTCAGAGATCAAGGATTATAGAAGGTATGCCTTAGCATTGCATACAACATGCAGTGCTGATTCCGATTCTTGAGGCGACCAAAGAGTTTTAGTTCTGAGATTTTCAGATCAATGGCTCTGAGCTTGATCGAATGACGACGAGGCCGATTTTTGCAACGCCCTCGCGCAATCTTATCGCTTGTCGAGCTGTTGCTGAAATTTTTGCTGGACCAAAATTTCCGCTACTCCACACTCGGCTACTGTCTCAACATTTTTTTCAGTGCTCCCAGAGCACGTTTTCATCACTTCTTCGTGTTTTTTGGTCTCCCGAGCAACAGTATCAACTTACAGAGCCCATTCCCTTCAGCAATCCTATCCAGTGATCATCAGGGCTTCCATTCGTCTTGTGACCATCAGGCTTTGATTTGCGCTAGTGCTTACCTGATCGCCACACTATGTTAGCGCCTTGTCGTTCGTTTGTCCAGTCCATCTAATACATGGGAATGTGCATGCTTTTGGCCTTTCTTTTTTGAAAGCCTCTGCGTATCCTGATCTTAGACCCCTGTTTTGAATACTGTGAGGGCTAAATATGGCCGCGTGCAGGATATTACATACTGTGCAGCACACTGACCACTAGGCTACGTCTTCAGTGTTGGATTTCGCCGCACGAGTTACTATACGTGTTTGTCTCGTGGATCAATTCGGTTAATTGGATGCAGCAAAACCCATTGTCAATTAGCCATAAGCTGGGTCAGTGTGCGTCAAGACTGCCATACCGAGTCAACTGTTGACATGTGACAGGAGAACTGTCACTTCTGCGCTCGAGTGGCGATGCCTGGGCCCTACCAGCTGCAGCCTCTCGAAGCCTCTAAGGCCAGGGCTCAGGGCTCGGGGGCCGGGCTGCACTCCAGTAGTGCTGAAGAGAAGAAACAACACAAGATGCAACATGGGAAAGGTCTCGAACTGGACGACATATCGTTGCGAAAAATGGGCAAAAACAGCAAATTGGAGGCCAGGACGGGCGAATGCACTACGCAAATCACTTGGCATCATTTCTATCTCATCCTGGGGGTAAAGTTTGTGAAATAATCCGGGCCGACCAACGGCCCGAAGCGCGGAGTTTTAACTAGTAATAAATTTTCGAATTCAGCGCTAATATGGCAGCCCGCCTAGCTCAATCGGATAGAGCGTCAGACTCTTACGAGACTGCTTATTCAGCATCTGAAGGCTGCCGGTTCGACCCCGGCGGTGGGCTAGAGTTACCTTTTGCTTTTAATTTATGGTCCAGCAACCTTTCCAGAGCTCCAGAATGTCGCAAGTCCATTTTTAGGCTCTTGGGAATTTTTTCAAGCCCGTGGCACCTAATTTTCGGTCTCAATGATGGGTTTGATGAGCACGGGATGTGTAATGATGAACAGAATGTCGACACAGTGATGAGAAGTTGTTTTAGTCGAGGACGAGGCCACATACATCATCGCCCCAGGCCAGGATTCGCACCCGACGCGACGCAAAATTGAAAGACCGACACTTTTCTACGACACCCAGCTCGACGTAACTACCACAGAAACAATCCTTATTATGTGGATCATCTGACCTCTGATAGGAACGAGCAAAAGGACAGGCATCCACCGGGAATCTTGTCAGTCGCCGGCAAGGGTCCGACCAATACGTATACCATGCCCCAACACGAAGTTTGCCAGCTCCTTGGCCAGCCCCCGAGATCAGGTTTGCTTCCCTCGCCCGCCCAGAAACAATAGGTTCTCCTCTTCCATCGGTGGAACTGACTTTTGAAGGCCCAGACGAGGCATCAAACAAACAGCTTCTCCGCCGATTAGTTTTGCCTGAACCTTGGCTAAGTCCCTCAGCTCAAGTCAACGCACCGGAATCTTGAAAGCCCGCTCGATGGAGGCTACGTAAGTTGCGTCTCCTAGACTTCTGTAACGCAATGTGATTCTTATTTCTGGAAGGCAGATTTTCCAGGAATGTGCAATCCCGAAAAACTTTCCTGATAGCCATACTTGTCAAGATTTATAAAACTTAGCTCGGGTCCACATCACTCCGGTGTCCCAAAGCTTCGAGGAAGTCTCATCTATACGTTCCAGGCTGTTAAGTTCAGAAACTTTGTATTCATGTGCTGACTATCCTCGCTTATTCTGGTCCTGCGAGGCTGTGATTGAGTGGCAAAGGTACACAAGCTCTCCACAGCATTGCAGGTACTCTTTTTTTCTCGACGGCACTTTTGCTTCATTTCCGATCATACGCGGGCCCTATATCCACAAAGATCGATGAGTGCGTTCAATCCAATTCAGTCACTAGTGGTCCATGAAGCTATCGCATGCGCCCACTCTGTGGGTCGAACTCGCAGAAACGGGGTTGGGCTGCGCCCAAGGACTCACTGACGCGAGTTGGATAACGGGCCGTGCCGCCCCTCCGTTCTTCCAGTTCTGCCCACTTCGTGGGTTGAACTCTCAGAACGGAAGACGTAAGTCCAACTTTTGCACTACTAAGTATAGGTAGCGATGTTCTCTCCATCCCGTATCACATACAAAATTAGACGTCAGGAACAAAATAGGCCGCTGTACAGTCCGTGTTAGTCCGTCAAGCATCGATGACCGGCGTGGATGAATATTAATGACTAAAATTAGACACTATTATTACTGTATGATGAGGGTACGAGAAATACTAATATAATACGGAGGAACTTGGCATCCATTCCCTCAAGCAGCAGCTCTTCCAAAGCGCACCCACAATCCTCCCTAAAATCACAGTAAGAGCACTGCGTACATGTAACATCCGAAAGCTCCGACATACCTTGACATAAAGCGTCAACGCGCTTGCAGGCCACACCTTCTCGATCTTCGCTCTCCCCTTTCCTTCGGTCTTCCACGATTCAGGAGGTATCGATCCAGCAGGTTGATATTCAGGAGTTAACTCGAAACGGTCATATTCCTGGAATAACCGAACGAGGAAAAACGACGCTTCGTTCAACGCGAATTGTTGTCCAAGACACTATAATTCCATCAACGAAAGCTCTTCAAACGAAGAAAGAAAACTTACGATGCGAGGCCCTGCGTTAAAGGGGACGAACATCAAAGGATTCTTGACCATCCTATCAACACGTTTATCGATCCAACGATCAGGATCGAATTCGTCAGCGTCGGGACCCCAGAGATCTTTACGACGGTGAAGGAGGAGAGGCGAATATATGACGCCGGTGTAAGGTGGGACGTAGATAGGTCTTTGATCGGGGGATGCGGGTGAAGGTGGGATGGCGGATGCGACTCCGGTGGATGCACGGCCGTTACCTGGGACGGGAGGAAAGAGACGGAGAGTCTCGTTGAGGACGGCGCGCACTGTTTGGATCGTTAGTATGGGATACGGATGATGAGGGGATGGTGGCATACTGTATTTCAGGTGTCGGAGGGACTCGTAAGTCGGGACTTGGCCGGGAGGACAGGCATTGAGAGCTTCCTCGCGAACGCGGGCGAGGACTTCGGGATATTGAGCGAGTAGGTAGATAGTGTAGGTCAACAGGCAAGCCGTCTTTTAGATATGTTACTATATGCTGATTCGCAGAGCATATATTCACGTACCGTATCTCTCGACGCGAGGAGGATATTCAGAAGCTCGAATCGGATCATTTCAGGATCTGAAAATGATCAGAATAAGTATACTAGCAAGGAAACTCACTCACCATCAGTGTTCGTGGCCAAATAATCCAGGAAATTAGTATCTTCAGCATGTTTCTCAATACCCGCTGCTTTCGCCTTTTGTTTCTCATCCAAAGCACGTTTCACCATAGGGTCAAGGAAGTTGCGGATAGCCTGGACGTATTGAAGAGTTCGGTCTCCGAATAATTCGACTACGGGCCAAGCAACGCCAAATCGAGACCGCTCGATGATAACTTGCTGAGCCGACTCGAAAGCCGATGCGAACTCTCCGAATTCCCCTTCGATGGCGGATCCTTTAGGTCCCATTACGGCCTCTCCTGCTTTAGGAAGGGGCAGCGACAAAGTATCAATATTCGAGCCGAAAAGCTGAAGAATGTTCAGACGAATAGCATATACGACCGAAACTCGACTCACGAAAGACGAGGCAGTATCAAGCGTGAATCGTGCAAAGAGGTCTTGGACGTCTACAGCTGAATCCCCAACGCCCCGAAGAACGGACAATGTATGCGCTGCATGTTCTTCGAAATATTCGAAATCGGAGATACGCTCCTTGGCGAAGAAAGGACGGGCCATGGCGCGGTGCGATCTCCAAGTGTCGCCATCGCGGTTGAATATACCTGAACCGAGGAAGGTTTCCCTGAAAATTGTCAGCATCTCAAAGACGCGAACGACGAAAAGAGCATACATGTTCATCTTGATCCTCTGTCCCTTTCCGAATTTTTCAAATCCAGTCGCCAGGACATATTTCACTACTCCTTCATCTCTTGTCCAGATCTGAAGAGCAAAGGTACAAGATTAGATTAGATGGTACCTCGATCGGACCGAGATGAATGGATGGTCACCTGATTTCCCCAAAGGAGTCTAGTATTGACAGTATGAGAGCTGTGCTCCTCAAATAGCGTATCGATATAATCATGGAAATATTTGGTTTTCGCAGATTTGAACATGGCGAGCATGATGTCGATATTTCCGGGCCATTTACCGACGACTTTAGGAGGCTCGACTGCACCGAGTCGTTTGGCTTCTTGAGTGTTTCGGAAATCGGCGTATGTGGATCGGATTGTATTCCATAGGGGGACGGAGACAGTTTGAAGGAGAATCATGGCGGGCCATGAGAGGGTGTTATGAAAAAGTAGTCTTGAGAGGATGGCTACTGCAACAGTCGGAACGACGAAAGCAGGGATGACAGTCCTGAACAAGAAGAAACGACGGTAAGCGGTATAGTCGACGCCCTCGTCCATGCTCGGACTCATGGTGGCTGGTGACGAGGAGGTGGAGAAATAGGGGATACAGGTGCTATCGATGGCTGCTTATAAGAAGACATGTCGATGCTTTTCTGCGAGCTATATCAGGTTCAAGTTCGCCGCTTCCGGATCCGGTTCAACCTCTGCGGATTTAATCACATGTAGTCCGATCGGGCATCGGCGATCTGTTTGGCCGTTCGTTTGGCTTGCCGAGTGCCATACGACATCGACGTCTTCCTTGTGCTCTGCTTAATCCGTGACAGAACGAGTTTGACAGCAGCGAGCTCGTCAGCATGAAACTGCTCAGTTTCAGCTCCCCACGCATTGAAAAAATGACCGTCGGTCTCCAAAGAACTCTTCGACTTCCGAGTCGGCGTCCCGAGTTCGAACATCCTGAAGAAGAGTCCGGGGCGCGCGCGAATCAAGACCCGCTCGCAGTTGGACAATTATAGGCAGTTCGTGGACTTTAGAGTCGGCCAGCGCTCCGCTGAGTCGTTGAGAAATGACAAACAGCTTGCAGGAGGAACGTTGACAAAAATTCGCAGTTGCTATAGCTCACCGCCAAAAATCAGAGAAAAACACGACGGGTATTCCATCGTTCTACAACTTTCCTGGTGGCCGCACTCAACCCGGTACCCCTGCTCTGCTCCTGATAGGAGTCCTGAACCTTTCCCTACCTTTCCACGATAGACCAATTCCGCGCTGGAAGTCTACAAGAACTTCGTATGTCTCACGTTCGATATAGAGATGTCAATGAGTACTAGTAATATTATCGCCTTGATGCGCCGAGCGTGAAGATAAGACGGCAAACTGAGGGCATCGAATGACTGAACCTCGGCCATCGGCCATCGTAAAGACAGGAAAACTGCGAAAGCGAAAGCAACGACGAAAAAATACCCAACAGCCTCCCACAAAACATCCCCTCGTCATACTCAAGCGCTCTCCTCATTCCCAAAGCTCATCCACAATCCCCCCTTCATAAATCCAAAATCAGCCACTCTCATCACCCCCCAAACGAAAAAAGAACGTACCTTGACAAACATAGTAATAGCACTAGCAGGCCAAACCTTCTCCTGACTAGCTCCCCCAACTTCGCCTTTCCACGATTCAGGAGGCAACGATCCAGGAGGTTGGAAAGCTGGGGCGAGGGTGAGAGAAGAGAATTGTTGGAGGAGGGATATGAGGAAATATGAGGCTTGATTTAGGGCGAATTGTTGGCCCAGACACTGCCCATCACCACACCCATTAGTGCTATTTTTAAAAACACTTGGGGGAGGAGGGACGTACGATTCGAGGACCAGCGTGAAAAGGGATAAATATGAACGGATTCTTAACAACGC